TATTTTTATTTTCATTCTCTAGTTCAAACAATCTCACGGGCCAGATGTTTTTGCTTGCGGGCCACATCTGGCCCGCGGGCCGCCTATTGCCGACCTATGTTGTAATGTAATAACATTTGCCTGTGATATTTTGTCTTTAAAGATAAAAGCTGAATTTATGAGAATTAAAAATGTTCCACTTCAACTGTGATTTCTAGCTTCTGGCCAATTGAGATCATCACAAACAAAACGAGGTGTTAAAGAGCAGCCCGGGGCATACTGACAGTTATTGATCAGGTATGTATGTGCTCAATACATCAAAATCTGCCTTATATCAGATACTTTATAAGATTGTAATGTAGTAGTGCTCATTTTGTCAACATTGACAGTTGTTAGATTGCATATTGGAAGATGTGCTATGTTTATCTAGTGTGACAAGTTTTTAAACTTGTTTGCGGAAATCATTTGTATATCACAATTCATTTAAATCTAAGTGCCCATTTGTCCATGATATAGTGTTTGCATTTTCTGTCAAGTTACCAAATTGGACAGCATAATTTAGCACCATGTGTGTACTTATCACCTAGAGCCTTGAGGTGAATCCAAAAAGAGTGTCAGCTAAAGTGCTCTATTGTGCACCTTGGGAAAAAACTTATCAAGGAATGGTAAGTAGTTTTGCATTAACCTCTTCTACTCCACCCCTCACTAAAATAAACCAATTTTTAGGAGGGGCAGGGGACCTTTAGCAGGTCATTAGTTTCTGCCACATAGAAGTGGTACACAACATCTGAAAGGTAGGAACTTTAGGATTAATTTTAGCTCATTAATGTCAAGCTTTTCTAGTCATGAATCTATAACAAAGATTGGGTTTTGTTTAGACGTCTATCTGATTACCATTAAGACCATGACGAACTTCTAAGAAAAATAAATGCTTTTTTAACGTTTTTATATCAAAAACTTTTGACGTTTGGAGATTAATGTAAGAATTCGATTTTTCGGCCATTGGATGACAAGCACTCCCTGTTCGTGAAGTTGCTCAGAAACCTTCTTTTTGTCAATATAGCTAGGAAAGCCATCCGTCCTCTGGATCCCCACGTTCTCTTGTGGTTGAACAGTTTCATGAGGCTGTGATTATCCTAGAGGTCACAACAGCTCATATAAAGCAGTGAGGTCACATTGGTCTTACTACAATGAAATGGCTACTATGGGGACAGACATCATCACACATGAATATAATTGGGCTCATTGAATCCACCAGAGTCTCAGCCTCAGTCATAAAATAAATCATAGTTTGTATTGAATCAGAAATTTAACTTGAGTTGAGTTAATAAAATTGCCTGTAACAAAATTGTGTTTTAATTAGTTTACCCTAAAGTAAAAACTATACTTTAATGTTATGTTAAAGTTATGTTTATGAATTTTCACTTTGTTTGTAAACCTTAAACATAAGAAAATATTCACTCTATCCCACAAGGCAAAGGCCTGAAATATAGATAGATAACATACAAGGACCGACTGGTGTCCCTGGGTCCCAAAGAATAAACAAAGAAACAACAGTCATCGGAAAACTTTTTTTCTTCTCAAACTATTATTAGTTATGTAAATAATAAACTGATTATTATTATTCTCTCCCTCTGCAGCCTCAAAAATGGATACATTTGTACTTTTTCCCACTCTGTCCTGATCATGATTAGACTGCCTGTCAATCATATGCATTACACACGTCTTTTATAGTCTTATCTTATATAACAGAAACATGAACATTTTATTGGATAGACATTTATAACATTTTATTATGAAATAACGCATTGAATTTTGGACTTTTTCTAGAGCCACAGTAGGTAACTAAGCCCTAACCC